CCCCCCCCTCCCCGCTACATACCTGTGGACCTGACATGAAAAAAAAACCAGTGTTCTCATTGGCAAGGTTGTTAAAGATGTTTTAAGGGATAAAAGAACACTTCTGAAACTCTGCTATATATGTTTTTTGTGCATTGGCATATCTTTGTTCCTAACAGTTCAAAGAGATATCTCTACGTATATTAGTCTAACAGCTGAGAAACCTAATTGCCTTGCATGAATGCTAGTAGATATTTACCACTAAGGAGAAAGTTGACTCAAGTGAGTTTTTAACTCTTCTCAGGAAGATCATACTTTCAAAAGGTTATGATCTCTAACAAAGTCATGTTTTCCAAAGGTTATATTATTCTAAATAGTGTGGATGCCAATTAATCTCCAAAAGGATCATACTTCCAAAAGCCTGTGGAGATTCCTGGTTTTTCCAAAAGGTTTTGAATAGCCATTTCCCCAAAGGTTGTGGAATTTTCCATTTTCCAAAATGCCAATAGTCCAGGTTGAGATGGAAAACAACACATGTTCTGTAAGAAAGCAATGTCTGGTACAGTATTATTATTTGTGCACAGGCCCAATTCAGAACAGGGATTACCTCGCCCTTGGCACTGGCATCTTCCACGATCTGCAGAAAGCGCTGAATCTGCTCCGGAGACGGCGGGTGGAAGTCAGCGATGCGCAAGCGGTGCACTTGGATGCCGGGGCAAGTGTCGTGATACGGGGGGCTGCGCTCGGTGAGAGAGATAAGGTGCCGGATGCCGTTGTCATACATGTATTGGTAATGCGCGGGCAAGCGGGGCATGGCTAGTCCCGCGAGCCGGCTGGGTTCAACCCAGGAGAAATTGGGTGGCACTGCGGACTCCATGGGCTCTGCAGCAAAAAAGACCAAAAGTGGAAGGAGGTGACGAGCAGTAACAAGTCCCTTCCATCCGTATTCTGAATGACATCCTATCAATGGGTGTTGCCATGTGCAACATGAATGGGTTTTCTTGCTAAACACCATTTCTCGGCCTAAGCTCAAATGGAGTTGAGTCACAGTCCAAGATGATTCTGTGCCCAGACTTACCAGTTTGCCCATCCCTCAATACACTAAGATTTGTGTTATATAAAATGATTCTAGAACAGTGGTTCTCAACCTTTCTAACACCGTGACCCCTAAATATGCTTCCTCATGTTGATGTTGAGCACCCCCCCCCAAATAAGGGATAGCGACTTATAGTTCTGCAAAGGGCAAGGGCACCAGACTACACAACAAGGGTTAAGTCTTGGTCACATTGCCAAGGCACTGACAACAACAAGGACCCCACGAGGCTTTTGGGAAATGGCTGGATCTTGGGACTTCTGCCCTTTGTGAGAGTTGTAGTTTCCCAAGGACCAAAGTGTGAATCAGTTGCAGCACAGCTGGGGTTTCATCTGCCAGCCTTCCCAATGATCATGGACTCTCTGCCTGCATGTCTTGGACTTCAGTACATACTATCTCCCTCATGAATTTTCCTCAAAGACCTTTTAAAACATTGGACTTCAGGCTTCTTCATGAAAATTAATCCTCTTATTAAATATACTTGGGATGTGGGACAAAGATGGGGTTTTGTTGCTATGAAATGCTTATGATTTGAATGTATGTATCTTGCTATGAAACATTGCTTGTCCTCCTGTCTTACCCCCTGACTTTTGCCCTAAAAATGTGACCCAGGACTGTTGAAATGCCTGAGGCAGGACCACCGCCTCCCTGGAAACTTACTTGATTATTCCACATCTGCATGGACAATAACAAGTTGAGATTTCCTTTCCCGCTCTCTGAGTTTTGTCTGGCGGGCAGGGAAGTCTATTTGGACACTTTGATTGATTCACAAAAGGACAGGAACGACCCCCGGGGTCCCCTGTCCTGACCCTGTTTGTTCCTTCTACCAAAACCCATCAAGGACACTCCTTATCTGATCAAAAGCAGGAAAACCTTTCTTAAGGAAAACCGCACCTTTGCTGGACAAAACAATGCCCCTCTTCCGCCCTGCCTCCCTCTCCCTGATTTGCTAAGGAGCCCAAGAGGGAGGGAGTTTTGAAACTTTCAAACCTGTATTTTCTCTATAAAAATGCCAGTAAAATTCTGTATTGCTATGCTTGTAGTGGAACTATTCCTACAATGCATCCGATCTCAGCTGAATCACTAATAATAAACCTCGGTGCCACTTCTTCGCCTTGGCAAGAGTCTCATTTCAATTATTAATATCAATAAAATTGCTGGAATCAGGCTTCCCTGAAGGCTTGCCAAGGTAGCGTTCCCTCTTTGGTGGGAACTAAGGGTCATCTCTCCTTGGAGTTGACCCCCCTAAAGTCTGAGTTGGCTTCAATGTCATGGTGACCCCCAACCATAAAATTATTTTCACCTGCCCTGCACCCCTGCCTGCCGGCGGGAGAGCAAACCAAGCGAGGGAGGCCTTGCGCAAAGGGGCCCTCGCCTGCCCCACGCCCCTACCTGCCGGTGGGAGAGCAACTCAGGCGAGGGAGGCCTCGTGCAAGGTGGAGGAACTGACCTGGAAAGCCTGGCTGTTTCCCTGGCACGGGCTGGCAGCCATTTTGAAGACCCCCAGAAAATGGCCCTGTGACCCCCCTGGGGGTCGTGACCCCCAGGTTGAGAACCACTGTTCCAAAACAAAAGCAAGTAAGGAGAGGGAGGAATCAAATGTCCAAAGCAAAAGTAAACAAAGTGATCGTCATATGCTTTCGGAGTGATCCACGTCAAATACAGAAACCATGCATTCTAGTTCTTGGTTAGCTTTTTTCCTGTTGTTGCTTTGATTCTTCTGATGCTGGATTTAACCGTTACACCCTACCTATCCCATGGTTGTCATGCAAATTGAATGGAAAACAAAGAGACCTGTCCGGAGCAGACTGGTAGAAGACATACAAAGACAACTAACTAAATAAAATAAACACAGCCGCACCTTTCTGATGTTGCTGGACTGCATTTCTATTGTTTCTGATATGCTGACTAAGGTGGATCAGCAGTTTTCAAGGAGCCCCCAGTGGTTAAACCCTTGTGCTGGCAGGACTGACAGGTCACAGGTTCGAATCCGGGGAGAGTGCAGATGAGCTCCCTCTATCAGCTCCAGCTCCTCATGCAGGGACATGAGAGAAACATCCAGACGTCCCCTGGGCAACGTCCTTAGACAGCCAATTCTCTCCTACCAGAAGCAACTTGCAGTTTCTCAAGTCGCTCCTGACACAACAACAAAAAAAAGCAGTTTTTAAAGGAACAGACATGTTACGCTGGATCTACACTGCCATAAAAATTAATGATCTGCTTTGAACTGGATTATATGGCAGTGTAGACTCATATAATCCTGTTCAAAGCAGATAATGTGGATTTTATTCATGTCAGGAGCGACTTGAGACACTGCAAGTCACTTCTGGTGTCAGAGAATTGGCCATCTGCAAGGACGTTCCCCAGGGGACGTTGCCCGGATGTTTTACCATCCTTGTGGGAAGCTTCTCTCATGTCCCTGCTTAGGGAGCTGGAGCTGACAGAGGGAGCTCAACCTGCTCTCCCCAGATTCAAACCACCTGTCAGTCATCAGTTCTGCTGGCACAAGGGTTTGAGAACCTCTGGAGGTTCTCAAACTTTTTTAACAGGTCACAGTCCCTCAAACTGTTGGAGGGCTGGATTATAATTTGAAAAAAAAATTACACACTACACATATCTTATTTGTAGTGCAAAACCACTTAAAATCAATACAATAATTAAAATGATGAACAATTTTAACAAATATAAACTTATTAATATTTCAGTGGGAAGTGTGGGCCTGCTTTTGGCTGGTGAGATGAGATCATTGTTGTTGTTGTTGTTGTTGTTGTTGTTGTTGTTGTTGTTGTGTGCTTTCAAGTCATTTCAGACTTAGGTTGAACCTGAGTCAACCTTTGATCATCTGGATTATATGGCAGTGTAGCCTAATATAATCCAGTTCAAAGTAGATAGTGTAGATATTTTTTTGTGCCAGGAGCGACTTGAGAAACTGCAAGTCACTTCTGGTGTGAGAGAATTGCCCATCTGCAAGGACGTTGCCCAGGGGACACCTGGATGTTTTGATGTTTGCCATCCTTGTGGGAGGTTTCTCTCATGTCCCCACATGAGGAGCTGGAGCTGACAGAGGGAGCTCAACCAGCTCTCCCCGGATTCGAACCGCTGACCTGATTATCTTCTTTGATAATCTGGATTATATGGCAATGTAGATCCAGCCTCAGTCTGTCGTAGCCTAGAAAGGGAAGAGAGGAAAATCTAGCACTACCTTGAGGACTGATGAATGAGCTTTCAAGGACATATCGCTCCATCACTTCAACTGTCAAAGGTTGCCCTCTCCATGCATTAGATGGCCTCTATTTCTGTCATTCTGTTTATTAATGCCTAGAGTAGACCACAGCTCATTCCCATTTGCACAAATAAATACAATACTTACCTGCTACTTAGCTAGAGCAACTTGCAAAATGCTTCTGATCACAAACATTCTTGATGATGGTGATGATAATATAATTATTATATCTTATCATTATTAATATATAATATATTAATATCATATAATATTAGTAATGATAATAATGATGATGATGATGATAATAATAATAATAATAATAATATAGTATTTGTGACCCAGCTCTACCTACAGCTCAAGGAGCAGTACCATAGGATGAGAGTTCCCAATTAATGCATAATAGCCATACTTCTCCTCCCTCAATTGGTCTAATACTTGGGTTGTTGTGAGTTTTCCGGGCTGTATGACTATGTTCTAGAAGCATTCTCTCCTGTCATTTCGCCCACATCTATGGCAAGCATTTTCAGAGGTTGTGAGGTCTGCTGGAAACTAAGCAAGTGGGGTTTATTTTATATACTTGTGGAATAATGTCCAGAAGTCTGTTGGAGGCAAGCGTTAATGTTGCAATTGGCCAGATTGATTAGCATTGAATGGCCTTGCAGCTTCTAAGTCTGGCTGCTTCCTGCGTGGGGGAATCGATTGTTGGGAGGTGTTCTGGAACATGGCCAGACAGCCTGGAAAACTCACAGCAACCCAGTGATTACGGTAATGAAAGCCTTTGGCAACAAATTGTATTATTATTATTATTATTATTATTATTATTATTATTGACACAAAAGCACAGTTTGTCACAGCAAATGAGATCTATATGCTGGATTTCGTATATATATATAGATGATGATGATGATGATGATACAATATATTAATATATCTATTATTATTATTATTATTATTATTATTATTATTATTATTATTAGCTGTACCCCCCACGCGTTGCTGTGGCAAACCTTCCCCCCCTCCCTCTTTCTCCTCCTTATTTCTTTCACTCTTTCCTTCCTCTTTTTCTTTCTCTTCTCTTTCTTCCTTCTCTACCTGTTTCTTTTCTCGCTTCCTTTGCTCTTTGGTTCCATCCTTCCTTGTTTCTTTCCTTCCTTCCTTCCCTCCCTTCCTCCCTCTCTCTCTTTCATTCCTTCTCTCCTTCCTTCCCTCTTTCATGTATTTCATTCCCTCCCTCCTTCTCTACCCTTCTTTATTTCCTTTCTTCTTCCCCCCTTCTCTCCTTCCTTCCTTCTCTACCCTTCTTTCTTTTCTTCTTTATCTCCTTCCCTCTTTCTCTCCTTCCTAGGGCCTTACAGCCAGTTAGTTAGCTGCCTCTTGCATCCAGAATGTGTATCTTGCTTATGTATTTATTTGCTACTAGCCGGCCCCTGCCACGCGTTGCTGTGGCCCAGTCTGTGTATATGTGTTTTGTGTGGGTATATATTTGTGTTTATGTGTGTTTGGGCATGTGGTTTTGCACATGCGTTGTAATTTTTAGGGCTTTTTGGCTTTTTAAGTCCCTTCTGATGTGTTTTTCAGGGTTTTTATGAGTGATGGTCACTCATTGGCCTGATACGTGTATTGTGTCCAAATTTGATGTCAATTCGTCCAGTGGTTTTTGAGTTATGCTAATCCCACAAACGAGCATTACATTTTTATTTATATAGATTATTATTATTAATTCTGGCCCACCTCTACATACTTATAATATCTAATAATAATAATAATAATAATAATAATAATAATAATACATTATTTGTGAACCACCCCTACTTACAGCTCAAGGCATAATACAATAGGATGGGAGTCACCAGCCAATTTCTAATAGCCATAGTTCTCCTCCATCAATTGTGCTGATAGTGTTTTCGTTTTATAAACTACTAGCTGCCCGGGTAATTTTAGAAAGGCATTGTGTGCCAAGGTTGGTCTTTATCAGTTATTTATGTGGCTCGCAGTGCTCTCAGGAAGGTAAAGCGAGTCCCATGGTCCATGGTCCTCCAAACAGCACCAGGATGTAGAGTGGGTCATGGGGGCTCTGTGTGCCAAGTTTGGTCTTGATCAGTCATTGGAAGAGGGTCGCAGCAGTGTCGGGAAGTGAGTGAAGGTACTTCAAGTCCCATTATCTGTGGTCCATTCTCCTCCAAACTGCACCAGGATGTAGAGTGGGTCATGAGGGCTCTGTGTGCCAAGTTTGGTCTTTATCGGTCTTTGTTGGGGGCTGCAGTAGTCTGTGGGAACTGAAGGGTGGGAAAGTACTACAAATCCCATCATTCATTGTCCCTCCTCCCCCGAAACTCACCAGGACGTAAAGGGGGTCATGGGGGTTATGAGTACCAAGTTTGGTCTTGATCGGTCATTGGATGAGGGTTGCAGCGGTCTCGGGAAGTGAGTGGAGGTACTTCAAGTCCCATCATCCATGGTCTGCCCTCCTCCAAACTGCAGTAGGATGTAGAATGGTCATAGGGACTCTGTGTGCCAAGCTTGCTCTTCATTGGTCTTTGTTGGGGGCCACAGTGGTCTGTGTGAACCGATGAGTTTGAAGTACTACAAATCCCATCAACCTTTGTCCATTCTCCCCCAAACCTCACCAGGACGTAAAGGGGATCATGGGGGTTATGTGTGCCAAGTTTGATCCAGGTCCATCACCCATGGCCTGTGAAATTGGCAGCCAATCAGACAGCTGCCACATACACCGTCCTCCCTCCGCATACAAACACTGACTTTTATTATATACATAGATTTAAACCAATGAGAAAAGCTTTTAAGGAGCTATTCCATTTGGCTGATTGAAAGGAAGGAAAAGAAGCCCCTCTCTAGCCTTAGTCCGACTCCTCTTCCTCTTGCCGCTCCATGCCCAAAAATAAACCCTCACTGAGGCTGTCCTCGAATGACCTTCCTTTCCATAGACACAAACCTACAGAGAAGCATTTGCCACCCGCTCATAACACAATCTGGGATCAGGCTATGCCATGCGATTCCCAGCAACCCCCTGCTTGCCTTCACCTGGCCCCAGGCATACCTGAGAGGAGAGAGAAAGGCCTCCAAAGAAGAGCTGTGCTTCTTTCTCAGGCACTGCAAGCATCCGAGTGCTTTCTCCAGGAGGAAGCACATCTGGTCTCCCTGTTGCAACTTTATTCAAGAGTGGAGCTCCTCCTTCCTCTGGCCTGATGGGCAGTCGCCACAGCGAATGGGGATGCAATGGGACCACTCCTATTGTCTTTGCGGCAAGGTTCAAAACCACTTCCACAGAGGGTCAGGACAGGCACATTTCAGTTCCAGATCAAAGAGATCACTGACTTAGGTGTGACCAGAGGCGGCCCTAAGTAATTTTTATTTTGGCACCCCCCCCCCCCCCGCAAAAAGATCTTGGGGGTCTTCGTGGACACAAGTTAAACATGAGCCAACAATGTGATGTGGCGGCAAAAAAAGCCAATGGGATTTTGGCCTGCATCAATAGGAGCATAGTGTCTAGATCTAGGGAAGTCATGCTACCCCTCTATTTCGCCTTGGTTAGACCACATCTGGAATATTGTGTCCAATTCTGGGCACCACAATTCAAGAGAGATATTGACAAGCTGGAATGTGTCCAGAGGGGGGGGCGACTAAAATGATCAAGGGTCTGGAGAACAAGCCCTATGAGGAGCGGCTTAAGGAGCTGGGCATGTTTAGCCTGAAGAAGAGAAGGCTGAGAGGAGATATGATAGCCATGTATAAATATGTGAGAGGAAGCCACAGGGAGGAGGGAGCAAGCTTGTTTTCTGCTTCCTTGGAGACTAGGACGCAATGGAACAATGGCTTCAAGAAAGGAGATTCCATCTGAACATGAGGAAGAACTTCCTGACTGTGAGAGCCGTTCAGCAGTGGAACTCTCTGCCTGCCCCGGAGTGTGGTGGAGGCTCCTTCTTTGGAAGCTTTTAAACAGAGGCTGGATGGCCATCTGTCAGGGGTGATTTGAATGCAATTTCCTGCTTCTTGGCAGGGGGTTGGACTGGATGGCCCATGAGGTCTCTTCCAACTCTTTGATTCTATGATTCTATGATCCAAGGGGTTATTGCCAAGTTCAGTGTTCAATTCCATCATTGGTGGAGTTCAGAATGCTCTTTGATTGCATTATTTATTTATTTACTGTATTTGTATACTGCCTTAATCAGACTACCGGCGACTCAAGGCGGTTTCCAACAAAACAGTATACAAATCATGGTACAAATTAAACATTAAAACAACATAAAACACAACAAGCAATAAAAACAACATAATTAGCGTCTCCATATTGTCAAGCATTGTCCAGTTCCATTGTCAAATTGTCAGATTTCCTATATTAGTTATCTATATCCATTATTTTGTATTTGTGAACGCTTGCTCAAATAGCCATGTTTGTTTTGGTTTTTTAATTAATTTTTATAGTGCAATTTTTACAGGGAAAGAGGGTGAAAACTTGCTTCAGAAACATTAAGAGGGAGGGAGCAGATCTAATTTCTCTAGGGAGGGCGTTCCATAGCCGAGGGGCCACCACTGAGAAGGCCCTGTCTCTTGCCCCCGCCAATCGTACCTGTGACGAAGGCGGGGCCGAGACCAGTGCCTCCCCAGACGATCTCAAAGTCCTTGATTATTCATAAGGGGAGATGCATTCGGACAGGAAAGTTGGGCCAGAACCGTTTAGGGCTTTATAGACCAAAGTTCTCCCTATTTATTTATTTAGCAGCCAGTGGAGCTGACGCAGCAGGGGGATGGTATGCTCCCTGTATGGCATTCCGGTGAGTAATCTGGCTGCTGCCTGTTTGACTAGTTGAAGTCTCTGAACAGTCTTCAAAGGCAACCCCACATAGAGTGTGTTGCAGTAATCTATTCGGGATGTAACCAGAGCGTGGACCACCGTGGCCAAATCAGACTTCCCAAGGTACGGGCGCAGCTGGCGCACAAGCTCCCCTGACCACCGCCGAGACCTGTTGACTATTAGCGATGACCGCTAATCCAGGATCACACCCAAGCTGTGAACCTGCATCTTCAGGGAGAGTGTAACCCCATCTAACACAGGCTGTAACCCTATGCCCTGTTTGGCCTTTCAACTGACCAGGAGTAACTCTGTCTTGTCTGGAGTTCAGAATGCTCTTTGATTGTAAGTGAACTATACATCCCAGTAACTACAACTCACATATGTCAAGGTCTATTTTTTCCCCAAGAGCGCCTCAAGAGCGCCCCTGGGCAAAATCAACTATACTGCAAATGCTTACTTTGCGCAATGGGTTGAGCCACCCCTGGGTGTGACAGAGACCTATGCAGACCATAGAATATTAACATCTTTGTCAATGATTCGGACGACGGAATATTTATTTATTTAGCATGTAAGAACCGAATTGAGACAATAGCCATAATGTGTAGAAAAACTACAAACAAAGTTAAAAGCTCGGCATTATGCTAAATGTCCTTTTTGTTGTTGTTGTTGAAGGCTTTCATGGCTAGAATCACTGGCTTGCTGTGAGTTTTCCGGGCTGTCTGGCCATGTTCCAGGAGCATTCTCTCCTGACGTTTCACCCACATCTATGGCAGGCATCCTCAGAAGTTGTCAGGTCTGTTGGAAACTAGGCAAGTGGGGTTTATACAACTGTAGAATCATAGAATTATAGAGTTGGAAGAGACCTCATGGGCCATCCAGTCCAACCCCATTCTGCCAAGAAGTAGGAATATTGCATTCAAAGCACCCCTGACAGATGGCCATCCAGCCTCTGTTTAAAAGCTCCAAAGAAGGAGCCTCCACCACACTCCGGGGCAGAGAGTCTCACAGTCAGGAAGTTCTTTCTAACGTTCAGATGGAATTTCCTTTCTTGTAGTTTGAAGCCATTGTTCCGTGTCCTAGTCTCCAGGGCAGCAGAATAATGTCCAGGGTGGGAGAAAGAACTATTGGCTACTTGAGGCAAGTGTAAATGTTGCCACTGGCCAGCTTGATTAGCACTGAATGGCCTTGCAGCTTCAAAGCCTGTCTGCTTCCTCTTTGGGGGGAATCCTTAGCATTGAATGGCCTTGCAGCTTCAAAGTCTGGCTGCTTCCTGCAGAAATGCCGGACCATGCTAACAATCACCATGTCACACTACACAGAGAAACCACTGAAATCCACAAGCATGAGGACAATTTCAACAGAAAGGAGGAAACCATAAAAATGAACAAAATCTGGCTACTAATATTAAAAAAAAGCTCTAAAATCAGGACAGTAAATAAAGAGCAACACTCAGAAAACAGGGTAATTCCAGGCATGAAACAATCAGGGCGAAAGGATTCTCCCAGGTAGCAACCAGCCAGGCTTTGAAGCTGCAAGGCCATTAAATGCTAATCAAGCTGGCCAATTGCAACATTCACGCTTGCCTCAAACGGTCAAGAGTTATTTCTCCCACCCTGGATGTTATTCCACAGACATATAAACCCCACTTGCCTAGTTTCCAACAGACTTCACAACCTCTGAGGATGGGGAAAACGTCAGGAGGTACCGGTGTATGAGGAAAGAGAGGGAGGGAGGGAGGAAGAGGAAGAAAGGAGAAGGAAGGGAAAGGAGAGGAAGAAGGGAGAAGGAAAGGAGAAGAAGGAAGGGAAGAAGAAGGGAGGAAGGGAGAGAGGGGAAGAAAGGGAAGGAAGGGGGAAAGGAGGAAGGGAAGAAGGGAGGAAGGAAAGAAGAAGGAAGAAGGGGAGGGAGGGAAGGAGGGAAGAAGGAAGGAAGGAAGGAAGGAAGGAAGGAAGGAAGAAGGAAGGAAGGGGGGAAAGAAAAGGAGAAAGGGAAGGAAGGAGGAGGGAGGGAGGGAGGGGAGGGAGGGAGGAAAAGAAAGGAGGAAAGAAGGAGCCTGGCTGCTTTCTGCCTGGAGGAATCCTTTGTTGGGAGGTGATAGCTGGCCCTGACTGTTTCCTGTCTGTTTCCTTTGAAATTGCAAGGCCATTCAAAGCTTATTAAGGTTTGAATATAAACCTCACTTGCCTAGTTTCCATGAGACCTCACAACCTCTGAGTATGCCTGCCATAGTTATGGGCAAAACATCAGGAGAGGATGCTTCTGGAACATGGCTATACAGCCCGGAAAACTCACAGCAACCCAGTGATTCTGGCCATGAAAGCCTTCAACAACAGCAAACAAGAACAACAACAACAACAACAACAACAACAACAACAACAACATAATAATAATAATAATAATAATAATAATAATAATTGCAGATGACATGATGATCTTTCCAAAAGACACACTGCATCCTGTTGAGATCTTGAAATATGGAGACCTGTCAGGCTTTCAAATGAACAAAGAGAAAATCTGACATCTCTGTTATCACAAAAGGGAGTAGACTGAATCTTTCCTTTCTTGGTGTGTCCCTCTGTATGTGTTTTTGTAGCTTTTTATTTCCTTTTGGGCTGTTACTTACCACATATGAAAAAGAAAAACAAACAGAAAGTTTCCCAGTCTGCTATGATGTCCATTTACCACCCGATGCCCAAGAGACCCAATTCTGGTTTAAATTGCTACAGTTCTGGTATAAGTTGCATTGTGCATGCATTTCACACCCAGTCTCTCTGCCTGCTTATTATCAAGTAGTGTCACAAAAGCACTTCCTCCACATCACTGTCGAAAGAGGACAGCCCTGAAAGTAAAAAAGACATTAGCTGAGATTATTATTATTATTATTATTATTATTATTATTATTATTATTTACACAATAAGATGAGTCCACAGCAAACAAGATCACTCTGCTGGCTGTTGTATTGGATCACACGTCAGACACTTCCCACAGTGTCTAGGACTCTGTGATGTATCGGTGAATAATATGTGCAGATCAGAGTAGGGTGGCATTTTGCAACTGACAGATGGTGATTTTATCAGCGCCGATTGTGTTTAAGTGCAGGCCAAGGTCTTTAGGCACAGCACCCAGTGTGCCGATCACCACTGGGACCACCTTGACTGGCTTGTGCCAGAGTCTTTGCAATTTGATCATTAAATCCTCGTATCGTGTCAGCTTTTCCAGTTGTTTCTCTTCAATCCTGCTGTCACCTGGAATTGCAACATCAACGATCCATACTTTTTTTTTTAACACAATCGTGAGGTCAGGAGTGTTGTGCTCCTAAACTCCGTCAGTCTGAATTGTGAACTCCCAGAGTAGTCGTTTTCCATAACTTTTTCACGCTTGTGATCCCATCAATTATTTGTCACAGGCAGATGGTATTTGTGGCACAAGTTGCAATGGAACATCTGAGCAATGGTGTTATGCCTCTGCTTATAGTCAGTCTGCACGATCTTCTTGCAGCAGCTGAGAATGTGATCCATCGTTTCGTCTGCTTCCTTGCAGAGTCTACACTTGGGATCTGTCATCGACTTTTCAATTCTGACTTTGATGGCATTGGTTCGAATGGCTTGTTCTTGGGCTGCCAGAATCGGGCCCTCCATCTCCTTTTTCAAAGTTCCATTTGTAAGCCATATGTTTTTTCTTTGTCAATTTGGCTCTCAATTTTTCCCAGGAACTGTCCATGGAGAGCTTTCTTCTGCCAGTTTTCTCTTCTGCACTGCATTGTATTTTTATGGTACTCACTCTTTCTCCCACAGTGGCACAGTGGGTTAAACCACTGAGCTGCTGAGCTAAAATTTGGGTGTATCGGGTATTTGTGCCAAATATGGCCTGGAGAATGAAAATACATCCTGCATATCAGATATTTACTTTATGATTCACAGCAGTAGCAAAATAATGCTATGGTTGGGGCTAACCACAGGAACTATATGAAGGGTGGCGGCTTTAGGAAGAGAAACACTGCTTTATAGGAAAATAGAGATAAGAAACCCTTATCTGGTGGTTAAGGTAAAGAGAAATGCTTTCCTTTCGGTTTGGGGATCTGGAAAAGCTTAAACTGATTCATGGGAAAGAGTTGTCTCAGTTGGGTCAATGTTGGAATGTCGTGACGGTCTTGCTTTCAAGTGTTTTTAGTTTCATGTACCCAGGAGCCCCCGATGGTGCAGTGGGTTAAACCCCTGTGCTGGCAGGACTGAAGATCGACAGGTCGCAGGTTCGAATCCAGGGAGAGGCAGATGAGCTCCCTCTATCAGCTCCAGCTCCTCATGCGAGGACATAAGAGAAGCCTCCCACAAGGATGATAAAAACATCAAATCATCCGGGCATCCCCTGGGCAACGTCCTTGCAGACGGCCAATTCTCTCACACCAGAAGCGACTTGCAGTTTCTCAAGTCGCTCCTGACACGACCAAAAAAAAAAAAGTACCCAGTTTTTGCAAAAGTCCTGATTTGTGTATTGGATTTTTCATCCTGCCTTGTTTCATGGATTCTTGTGCCTTTTTCATGAATTTTTATACTTATGGATCTTGTTTTGTCTTGAAGCTCTTGGACCAACCTTTGTTTTGGAACTTTACTGTTTTTGCTATTTTTACTGCTTTGCCAACTATATACTTCAATAAACTGCTTGTTGATTTTACCAAACTAGTGTGGCGTTTAAGATCAGAGGTGTTCCTGCTCTGGTGTATGACAATTTGACACTTTTGCAACATGTCATAGAATCATAGAATCAAAGAGTTGGAAGAGACCTCATGGGCCATGCAGTCCAACCCCCTGCCAAGAAGCATATCTTCCCATCATCCCAATCTCCCCGACTCACCTGTTTCCAGGGATTCCTCCTCTCTGTTGAAGAGTTCGTTCTGTTCCTCCTCGTCCAGGAACAAGAAGTTTTCAGGGGGCCACCGAAGCTCCCCGCTTTCTACCTCTTCCCTTTCGCTGGGTTCCACCACGATGGAGGGCAAGCGAGCTTTCCCGGGCCACGGCTCACCATACTGGTTCTCGTAGAGAGGCCTCTCCGGCAGCATCTTGCAGGTATTCTCACACTGCTGCGATTCATAGGGCAACCCACAGTGTCTCTCAGCAGAATCTCGGACACACATGTCCTCACAGGATGATTCGTTGGGGACTGTCGGCATCTCCTCACTGGGAAACTCCTCACACAGCCCCAAGGAAGGGCTGCCAAAGGGATACGGCCCCTGGCTTTGGCCCTGTGCTGGTGTGGGAAATGGCTGGAAGAAGAAGTAGAAATGCTTGGGTGCACCTTGGGAACACTTTAGAGCAGTGTTTCTCAACCTTCCTAATGCTGTGACTCCTCATGTTGTGAGGACCCCCAACCATAAAATTATTTTCATTGCTACTTCATAACTGCCAAAGGGGTTCCTAAGACCATCAGGTTGAGAAATGCTGTTTTAGAGTAGGCATGGGCCAACTTCGGCCATCCAGGTGTTTGGGACTTCACCTTCAACTCTGGACTTCAACAGCTGGTAGTCTGTTAGGAATTGTGGGAGTTGAAGTCCAAAACACTTGGGAAGCCAAAGTTGGCCCATGCCTGCTTTAGAGACTAGACAGCGTGTCATGATAAAATATGCTGTATGATTAAGAAAGGCGTACGAATGCGGTCCAATTGGGCTGAAGATACCATTCTAAGGAATGAGGCCTGGAAAACTATAAGACAGAGCCGAAGAACTCATGGACTAATTAAGAATTGCTGCTGAGATTTGAGACAAATGATTAACTGTTGACATTCTGACTTGATGAACTCTTGGTGGAAAAATAACTTGTTTACATTGCCAAAGACAATGGTTCTTTTAAGTAAGGAAGTCAACACTGTGGCTCCTTACAGAAATGTTTACAAGCCTTCTTGGTAAGGAAAGCCAATTAAACAAAATCAACATCTGTCCAGGAACTGATGGAATCTGTCTGTCAGTAATTTACAACTTTCAGAACCACATCAAAAGAAAATACTACGTAAAAGGACCCTTCTCTCTCAGAGAGTGTGTCGGACCAACTGAACACCATTTCTGAACACCATTGTGAGCAGCCGCCTCCTCTCAAGAAGCTGATCATCTTCAACAAGAAGAATGGTAAGAATGCTTGATGAATGAATGAATGATGAATGAATGATTGAATGTTAGAGTATATGTGTAAACATTGATGCAATATTCCCCCTTTGTCTATGTAACCAATATAATTATTGTGCTGGTACGGCTGTACCAGGAGCTCCAAACTCCCTTTCATTCTTTGAGTGTTTGCATGTGCTTGTTCTGGCCATGCATTTTGCAGTTGGATGGTTCCTGCTAGGCTGCAGTCATGGGGCTAGCCACCTGTCTATCATCGTTAAGTTTTAGTTCCGCCCTTTTTTCCAGGTTCAGGAGGGAAAGGGAACCATTTAAGTTCAGTCTTACAGTTGGAAGCTCAGCTACAGGTTGTGAAAGTTTTCTACCTGTAGAGAAGCTTTGTTTCTTACAAAGTCTCGGAGAAAACAGTCCTAAAAGCTCTGGCTGGGGAATTTACAGCCTCACAGCTTTAAGCACAGTCTCTAAAGAAAGGCTTTTAAGCAAAATAGCTTTACAGCACAACCCTTGTTGGGGTTGGAGAAACGGACCTACAACTTTCATGGGAAAAATCCTAAGGACTCCAGCTGGAAATTCTTCAGAGCCTTGGCTGGCCAAGAAGCAATTTGGAGCCAGGAGTAGGGCCCACACCAGCAAAGCCTAGAAAGCAGATTGCCCAAGGAGGGGTCAAAAAGGATTTTCCTCGTAAAGGCAAGAAATAGTTCTCCAAGCAAGTTGCCTGTCCATTGTAGACAAGTTAAGAAGCATTTGTTTGATTTGTTGAAGATCTAAGATTGTTTGTTGAAGACCTAAGCAATAATAAAGAACTTTGTTAAACTTTTAAGCTTCTAAAGACTTTGTATAGGAAAACCCATAGGGCCTCTTATCTGAGGCACCCCGGCTTCCCGCTGGGCACAAAGAGCTTGTCCTGTTCAAAAGCCAATTGCTATAGGCCCAGCGCACAACAGCACAATTATTATAAAACCCAGTACTGGAGTCTGTGTCTACTTTTTCTCTGAAAGTGCCTAATGCAACCGGTCTCACTAAAAGCAGAATAAAAGAACCTATTTAATGTTTTAAAAAAATACTTATGACAAGCGTCCATACACAAGAGAGAGGCACATTATGTATTATGTTCCTTGAGACAGTCAAGCTCTTACCTGGATGTTTAGAGGAAGCGCGTGCAGAGGGCTCTCCATCCTGGTTGAGACCCATTGCATTTCCTGGTCCACATTCGAACCTCCTTCTTCCCTTGCATCCGAATTCGGATTTGACGCTGGTATCTGGCATGTGGCGCACACCTCCGGAGGGCCATGGGGACCCTCGTAGCCTCCCATCATTTCGGTCATTTCTGTGTGTGGCAACACAACCGTTTCAATGTCGTGGAATGTGAAGATTTAAAAGTCCAAAAAGTTTCAAAAAGTTTGAAAATATCCAAGAACTGCACATATAGCCTCTCACCAGTAAAGATGACTCCATGTATATGTGTGATGTTTAGCCTGAAGAAGAGAAGGCTGAGAGGAGACATGATGATAGCCATGTATAAATATGTGAGGGGAAGCCAGGAGGAGGGAGCAAGCTTGTTTTCTGCTGCACTGGAGACTAGGACGTGAGACAATGGCTTCAAACTACAAGAGAGGAGATTCCATCTCAGCATGAGGACGAACTTCCTGACTGTGAGCTGTTCAGCAGTGGAACTCTCTGCCCTGGAGTGTGGTGGAGGCTCCTTCTTTGGAAGCTTTTAAACAGAGGCTGGATGGCCATCTGTCAGGGGTGATTTGAATGCAATATTCCTGCTTCTTGGCAGAATGGGGTTGGACTGGATGGCCATGAGGTCTCTTCCAACTCTTTGATTCTATGATTCTATGTGTACACACAAACAGGTCAAAGTATGTATGTACCACAAAGTTTCCCACTTGACTTGATGGATCTGGACCAAACTGGCACAGAAATCCTTCATTGCCCAAATGTGTGTGTGTGTGTGTGTGTGTGTGTGTGTGTGTGTACACATACACACATCAAAGTATGTATGTATATATGTATGTACCACAAAGGCTCCTACTTGGCTTAATAGATATGGACCAAACTTGGCACACACACCCTCCCTTGCCCAACTCAAAATACTGACAGGTTTCCAACTACAAGGACCTCAAAACAGCTCCCCCAAACAGGGTGGAAATGGCAGTATATAGATGGAAAGGATTAGCTATGGCCTCTGGGTATGTATATATGCTGCACTCAGATGCAACCACGAGAGGGCACACTCAGTGCATCTACCCCATAAGGAAGCAAGCCATTGAATGAAGATTTCTATTTTGGAAGGTGTGAGTTTGTGTAAGTCTGCACCTTGCTCTGAGGCTCCAAGATGGAGAAAAGTACGAAAGAAGGGAAGGAGAGAAGGAAGGGAAGAGATAGGAAGGGAGGGGGAATAGGGAGAAAGAAGGTAAAGAATGAATGAATGAATGAATGAATGAAAGAAAGAAGAGGGGGTGGCATATGAGGGAAGAAAGGGAAGAAGAAAAAGAAGAAGGGGAAGGGAGAAGGTAGAAAGGAAGAAGGAGGAAAGAGGAGGGAAGAAAAGGAGGAAGAAGGGAAAAAGGAAACGGGAGGAAGGGAGGAAGGAAAGAAAGAGGAGGAAGGGAAGAAGAAAAGGGAAGGAAGGGGGAAAGGAGGAAGGGAAGAAGGGAGGAAGGAAAGAAGAAGGAAGGAAGGGGAAGAAAGGGGAGGGAGGAGGAGGGGAAGAATGGGAAGAAGAAAAGAAAGGGGGAAAAGGGAGAGGTACAAGGTGTATGAGGGAAAGAGAGGGAGGGAGGAAGGAGGAAGGGAAGAAAGGCAGGAAGGAAGGGGGAAAGGAGAAAGGGAAGAAGGGAGGAAGGAAAGAAAGAAGGAAGGGAAGGGAAGAAGAAGGGAAGGAAGGGGGAAAGGAGGAAGGGAAGAAGGGAGGAAGGAAAGAAAGAAGGAAGGGAAGAAGAAGGGAAGGAAGGGGGAAAGGAAGGGAAAAGGAAGGAAGAAGGAAGAAGGGGAGGAGGGAGGAGGAGAAGGGAAGGAAGGGGGAAAAGGAGAAAGGGAAGGAAGGAGGAAGGGGAGGGAGGGAGGAAAAGAAAGGAGGAAAGAAGGAGCCTGGCTGCTTTCTGCCTGGAGGAATCCTTTGTTGGGAGGTGATAGCTGGCCCTGACTGTTTCCTGTCTGTTTCCTTTGAAATTGCAAGGCCATTCAAAGCTTATTAAGGTTGCCATTTGCAACATTCACACTTGCTTCCAAGAGGCAAGAGTCCTTTGTCCCAACCTGGACATTATTCCATAGATATATAAACCTCTCTTGCCTAGTTTCTTACACACCTCACAACCTCTGAGGATGCCTGCCATAGATGTGGGAGAAACATCAGGAGAGGATGCTTCTGGAACATGGCCAGACAGCCCGGAAAATTCACAGCAAGCCAGTGATTCTGGCCGCGAAAGCCTTCAACAATCTCAAGATTTTTGTATTCTAAACCTGGACACGACACAATAAAAGTCCCAATAAAGACAAGGCATGCTTGTATAACACCAGAGAGTTAGTGTGATGCAGTGGTTGGAATAAATATATATTTATATGAGAAATTGGTCAGCGGCAGATGCAGTAGATTAATCTGATCTAAAATGCATGGGAAAGAGGCCAAAAGTGAACGACTAAAGCCGAGCCATTGTGCGAAAATGCACATACCCTCCAGAGGCTTTTAAACAGATGGCCCTCTGTCAGAAGGGCTTGGATTGTGCTTTTCTTGCATGGTGAAATGGGGTTGGACTGGATGACCCTTGGGGTCCCTTCTAACTCTGAGATTCTGTAACCACCATCATCATATTTGACCGTAATAGTGATTATGGAGTCTTTTTCTCTGGAAGCTTTTAAGCAGAGGTTGGATGGCCATATTTTGGGGACAATTTTACTCTAGATTTTCTGTTTTTCCCCCACCACAGACAGCCCAGTGTTTCTGACTCTCTCCATTGGTGTGGAATTTGAGCGACCCCGCCCACTGCCTCTCCCTTAACCGATTCTATTCTATAGCACACGCAAATAAAGGACCAGAAACTGAACATACTAGAGAGGTTTGGGGAGAATTTACCATGATTTATAGGAGTTGTAGGTACTGGGATGTATAGTTCACCTGCAATCTAAGAGAACTCTGAACACCAACAATGGACCTGCTTACTTACTTGGCACACAAAACCTGCATGAGCGACAAAAAATACTGGAGGTCTTGGAGGGATTTATAGGAGTTGTAGTTCACCTACATCTAGAGCACACAATGAACCCAAACAATGAAGAATCTCGACCAAAGTTGACATGCATACCCAATATGCCCAAATTTGGACACTGATAGGTTTTGTGGAGAATTGGCCTGGACATTTTGGAGTTGTAGGTACTGGGATTTAGAGTTCACCTGCAATTAATGAGCACTCTGAACTCCACCAAAGGATTGGACCAAACTTGGCACCCAGAGCCCCCATGACCAGCAAAAAATACTGGAAGTCTTTAGGGAAAATTCACCTTGGTTTCGGGGAGTTGTAGTTCATCTACATATAGAGAGCACTGTGAACCCAAGCCTGTGATTCTATGATTTTATGAGAGGTTTGAGGGGACTGACTCACCATAGTGGGAGTTATAGTGTACCCTACAGCCAGAGAGCACACTGAACCCCACCAATGATGCATCCAGAGCAACCCTGCACAACATAACAAGCTTCAAGTACTTATGGAGTTTCTTGGGGTTAACCTGGCATGATGGGAGTTGTAGTTCACCCACAACTTTATGCATTTTGTGCAATTTAAAAATGACTTTTTCCAAGCGAGTAGGTATATAAAATAGGTATAAACACCAAACATTCACTGAGAATTAATCAGCATGTGTAAATCTTGCTAAAGAGGCTGATGCTTCTTTTTTATGAAGCACAGCTGAAGCATTTGCTGCAGAATCCATTGTAAATGCACCCTATTGCAAAAAAGATTGGCGTCAATGGGTGGCATTTGGAAATTCTTTCGCTGTGGTCAAATCCTTCGGGACCCCAATATTGAGCATCCACCTACAGTATTAATAGATCAGGGTTGTCAACAAGTGCAGCCGGAGACCAGATGATCACCCAATGCCATCCTGCCCAACTCACCTTTCCCTGCAGGCATTCGTTGCCTCTCCTCTTCTAGTGTCCAAGGTTCATCTTTCCTCTCTTGCTGGGGATAATGGGGTGGAGAGGACCATCCTGAGGAAGGTTGCCCATACATGACAAGGCAGGGAAAGGGGATCAGAGGGGCAGGAGGAGGGGTCCGCACTGGGGAAAGGTTAACGCAGGTTGCAACCAGGCCTTCTCTGCTTCCCGGATGTTAATGTGAGCCCTCTGAGCTCACGGAAAATGCAGAGGGACAGCGGCTAATGAGCTCAGGGCGAAAGGAGGAGATTGTCACAGGATTTGCTCTTGGGCAGTGCATCGGCCTTAAGTCGCCTTAAGTCGAGTGGCGACTTACTGCAAACAGGACAGGGTCACGTCAGGGAGGGGATCTGCCCAATTAATACGGCTTCGGGTTGCCAAGCAGCTCTGATCCGGCCTGTATTTTTAATCAGCAGGTGAGACTTTTGATGGGGATAAGGAGAGAGCATTCCTAGGATCCTTGAGGCGGAAGAGACCCCCAAGGGTCATCCAACCCAATTCTGCCGGAAAAGAAGGCACCATCAAAGGCCTCCTAACAGATGGCCATAAAGCCCCTGCTTCAAAACCTCCAGAGAAGGAGAATCCACCACCATCATCATCATCACCACCATCATTATAATTATCTATGATTATTATCTTATTATTAACTAGCTGTACCTGCCATGCGTTGCTGTGACCAACCTTCCTCTTTCTCTCCTCCTTTCTTTCTCTCCTTCCTTCCTTCTCTTTTTTCCTTTCCTTTCTCTCCTTCTTTCCTTCCTTCCTTTCCCCTTTTTCTTTCCCTTCCTCTTTCTGCCCTTTCTTTCTTCTCTATTTATTCTTGTAGAAATGGGGCCACAAAGTGGAATCCACGACATGCGAGTGTGGAGAAGAGCAAACCACTGACCACCTGCTGCAATGCACCCTGAGCACAGCCACATGCACAATGGAAGACCTTCTTGCGGCAACACCAGAGGCACTCCAAGTGCCAGATACTGGTCAAAGGACATTTAATCAACTACCAAGCTTGCAAACTTTGTGTTTTGTCTGTCTGTTTGTTTGTTTGTTTGTTAAAAATGTAATACAACTGTCTGGTTGCTCCTGGCATGATAAATAAATAAATACCTAATCTTGGACTGCAACTCCCAGCAGTCCTCCTGATCGATCTACCTACCTCCCTATCTCCATTTAATCTCTGTATCTGGAGGATTGCTGGGAGTTGCAGTCCAGGAATAGGAAATTGGAAATATGCAGGGATTGGGATGCTCTCAAAGAAATCCAATGAGAAGAAAGTTTGCATCTTGGAAGCAGTGCATTTGGAGCATCCTCCTCCCCTAATGGGCCTGGTCTAGGGGATGCTGGGAGCTGTAGTCCGGAAGAAAGTGAGGATATGCTATTGTGTGTTTTGTTTGCTGGGGATGTCGTTTTTCACTTGCGCTGTAGCATCTTCTTGCTTTTTGGCCTTTTAAGTCCCTTCCACTGTGTTTGGCAGTGTTTTTATGAGCGATGGTCACTCATTGGCCTGAGACCAATGTGTCCAAATTTGGTGTCAATTCGTCCAGTGGTTTTTGAGTTATTTTAATCCCACAAACTAATATATTTTTATTTATATAGATAATATTAATATTGAATTCAAGAGTTGGAATCCCATTCCGTCATGCAGGAATCCACAATCAAAGTACACCTAACAGATGGACATCCAGCCCCGCCAGAGAAGGAGACTCCATCAGCAGCAGCAGCAGGATTATAATCATCTATTATTGTTGGAAATTTATTTATTTATTTATTTATGACATTTCTATCCCGCCCATATCAGCCCGAAGGCGACTCAGGGCGGTGTACAAGTCGGCAACAATTAAATGCCATATATAAAAATACATACATCGATAAAAACAGAAAACATCACCATACATTTAAAAACCATAAAAAGCAATAAATAATAAAAAATTATTAAAACTATGTCTTCTTGTTCAAATCCTCCACTGTTCCATCGTCTTATTTATTTATTTATTTATTTATTTATTTATTTACTCTGTTTCTATACCACCATTTTCTGCCCAAGGGCGACTCACGGCAATTTACAAAACGGCACAATTCGATGCCCACAACAAGTCTTATCTGTTCCAAGTTCATTTTCCGATTTCAGTTTTTCTGATCATGCTGTGGTTCCGAATGCTTGCTCGAAGAGCCAAGTTTTCACTCTTTTTCAAAAAGTCAGGAGGGAGGGGCCGATCGAATCCCATTCTGCCATGCAGGAATCCACAATTAAAGCACTCCCAACAGATGGCCATCCAGCCTTTCCAGAGAAGGAGACTCCCTCCTCCTCCTCATTATCATCATATATTATTACTAGCTGTCCCCTGCCATGCGTTGTTTAACTTGTTGTCCACGAGGACTCCAAGATCTTTTTCACACGTACTGCTCTCGAACCAGGCATTGTCCCCCTCTCTTTGGTGGAGAGGTGGCTGCCAAGGTAGTGGAAATGGTCAACATTTTCTAATGTTACACCATTAAGCTGCATCTCTGGCATTGGAAACGGATTGGCTGATGACTGCTGAATCCATATAAGGTATTGCATCACAACCAAACCCTATGACTAGTGTTCCTTGGAAAGTGTACATTAAGGCACATATGCTTTATTTGCCGGTAAGACATTTGATCCCCACACAAAACAAGTTTGGATAAACAAGGGCATGCTTTGTTTCCTTGTGAGTAATGTGTGACTGTCTTTATGCTCCATCAATGAGAAACAAGAGCCCTCCCTTAGCAGTGATTATCAGCACTCCATTTTAGGGCGTTGCCAATTTTAGCCCCGATGGTTAGTTAACATTTGTCCTGCAAGCTGTGCCAAGCCGGGTGTTACATAACGCATCGACGGAGTATTATCCATGCTCTAGCTTGGTGCTTATGCTGTCAAATGTCAAAAGAAATAGGTGGGAGAATAGGATGGTGGATCAGTGATTGGTTAAATGGACGAACCCAGAGGGTGCTCCCCAATGCTTCCTCTTCATCCTGGAAAGAAGTGACAAGTGGAGTGCCGCAGGGTTCCGTCCTGGGCCCGGTCCTGGTCAGGATCTTCATTAATGACTTAGATGAAGGGTTAGAAGGCATGATCATCAAGTTTGCAGACGACACCAAATTGGGAGGGATGGCCAATACTCCAGAGGACAGGAGCAGGATTCAAAATGATCTTGACAGATTAGAGAGATGATGGGCCAAAACTAACAAAATGAAGTTCAACGGGGACAAATGCAAGATACTCCACTTTGGCAGAAAAAACGAAATGCAAAGATACAGAATGGGGGACGATGCCTGGCTCGAGAGCAGGACGTGTGAAAAAGGTCTTGGAGTCCAGTGGACAAGAAGGTAAACATGAGCCAACAATGTGATGTGGCGGCAAAAAAAGCCAATGGGATTTTGGCCTGCATCAATAGGAGCATAGTGTCTAGATCTAAGGAAGTAATGCTACCCCTCTATTCTGCTTTGGTTAGACCACATCTGGAATATTGTGTCCAATTCTGGGCACCACAATTCAAGAGAGATATTGACAAGCTGGAATGTGTCCAGAGGAGGGCGACTAAAATGATCAAGGGTCTGGAGAACAAGCCCTATGAGGAGCGGCTTAAGGAGCTGGGCATGTTTAGCCTGAAGAAGAGAAGGCTGAGAGGAGATATGATAGCCATGTATAAATATGTGAGAGGAAGCCACAGGGAGGAGGGAGCAAGCTTGTTTTCTGCTTCCTTGGAGACTAGGACGCAATGGAACAATGGCTTCAAACTACAAGAGAGGAGATTCCATCTGAACATAAGGAAGAACCTCCTGACCGTGAGAGCCATTCAGCAGTGGAACTGTCTGCCCTGAAGTGTGGTGGAGGCTTCTTTTTTGGAAGCTTTTAAACAGAGGCTGGGTGGCCATCTGTCAGGGGTGATTTGAATGCAATATTCCTGCTTCTTGGTTGGACTGGATGGCCCATGAGGTCTCTTCCAATTCTTTGATTCTATGATTCTTTGATGGAGCTAATGCCAAACCCTTGCCGTAATCCATGTGGGAGTTGCAATTGCTATTTATTATCGAGCAGGATATTTGCAAATAAATTTTACATGGTGCAATGTGTGTGCCCATTAATTGTAAACTGTGGGGATTGACTCAATGTTCCTCTATGGATCACTTCAGCAAAAATAGCACCTTTCCAACTGAATTGGGTTGACCTGACCAAGGAGTCACCATGTCCTCGGGCAACAAATCTGACTCAATGGCTAATAATCCAGTCTTTGCATTCATCAGTCTCCTGTACTATTTGGGACACACCTAGTACTGTGTTTTCCCCTTTGATTTTACTCTGGGTGGCGATTTGTTTGGCTTATTTGTTTTGGCTTCAGTTGCATAGATGCCAACCCCAGGATTATGTAAGTGGTTAAGATGCTCACACCGTGAATGTTTCCATGAGCCTTCTCCTTCGTTGCTTGCTTCTCTTCTATTGTTGCAGGGACAGTGTGAAGTAATCCTCTCCTGTCCCAGTTTCTTAACTGTCAAAGGCTTTCATGGTCGGAATCTCTGGGTTGCTATGAGTTTTTCGGGCTGTATAGCCATGTTCCAGTAGCATTTTCTCCTGATGTTTTGCCTGCATCTACACAACAAGACTTAATGCCAAGGGGAAACCTTTTGCCTTACCTTACAACTGACCATATAATGTAGTTTCAAGCTACGTTATATGGCAGTGTTGTTGGGGTCGTGATCAGGATTTCAGTCCAAAAAACTCTCAGCAACCCAGTTCAGACTTGATTCGCTCTTGGGTGCATTTGCTTGTCTGTTTGGCTATCCATAGTTATCTACAGAACTCTTTTTCCAGTGCCACATTTCAAATGCACATTTTTGTGACTGTCAAATGCGTTTTTGTGACTGTCCACAACCATACATAAGAAGGCCGAATGAAAAGTAATGCCTCCACCTTCGTCACTTGGGTTTGGATGGGGATATTGTCATAAATCAAACACAGAAATAATCCTTAGAATGTGCTCTTTAACTACCACTGTTCACTTTTCCACATAATCACCAGACAATTGGGTACATTTCTGCCAACGATGAACAAGTTTTCTGAAGCCATCACGGAAGAAGTCTGTGCGCATCAGCATCCTGGGTACCCATCATGCACAGATCTTCCAGTAGCCAAGCAAAGCAATAATGTGACCCACATAGAATCATAGAATCAAAGAGTTGGAAGAGACCTCATGGGCCATCCAGTCCAACCCCATTCTGCTAAG